TGGAAGTGACGATGGCAGAGATGAAGTTCCCAAGTACACATCGTCGTCAGAGGAAACTCACTATATGCCTCATGCATATGAGGCAGCGGAGGCCTTAGCCAGAGTGGGCTGCTCGCATAGGCATATAGGGTCAGAGCCCCGGTTGGGGATCGCCCCGTGTGTGAGGCGGGGAGCTCTCGAAGCCTGGGCGAGAGACCGGGCCGCGGTGGGCTGGAGAGTTGCTCGGGGAATGAGGCAGGCGAGGCTTATGATGGATGGGCCCGCCCTTCCTCGGACCAGGGAGCTGCTTAGACTGACCAGAAGAGAGTGTAGAGCACTAACAGGGGCGTACACAGGACATTGCTGGCTTAGAAGGCATCTTTGCTTGCTTGCTTGAGTGCCCTGCCTTGACATGGGCAAGATTGGGAGTTTTCGGAACGGCCCTGATCGATCCGGACTCAGTGCACGGTATTGGGCTGACCTTCTATAGGAGGGGTGGCATTCTGGACGCCCTCTAGAGCGGCCTGGGGGCACAACGGGCCCGTCTGGTGGCCTAAGTTCTTGGACGCCCCCCTTTAATACCAATACCAATACCAATAATGCCTCATGCATATTTCTCATTTTGTCTGAAATCATAAAATTTAGATCTTTAAGTCGACTTTCGAAATCGGCGTAGATTACAAATGGCGAAGTTTCTTTGTCGTCGGTACCGGATCAAAATCATTAATTTTTGTATAATGCTTATTTTAAAATAATATTAAATTGACATTTTTTTCGCGTTTGTCTTTAGTTAAACGGTCCGGTAACACTGAATAAAAACATTTACTGTGGTTTTGAATTTACTCTATAACATACACATTTAGGCAAATTCCGTTGGATTTATCAAATATATGAATTTGGTTTAGATTCACCGCCGTTGGACAGTTGTCATTTCATAATACGTTCTTAAAAAAGGATATGAAGTCGGTAAGTATTGTTGGCCACGTTCTTTTGCAGGAAAAAAAGACCACAGATTCGTTTAAATTCGTTCCTAAGTCGATTTTCGGTAGAAACATATTTCACTTCGGTCACGTCTTGGCCGTCGTTTTTTCTTTTTATGAATTCACCGCAGTCGCTTAAAATTTGTTCCTCTTTTTGTTTCAAAGTTATTGTTACACCTGCAATTTTCTTTGTATCATCTTACCTCTCGATCTCAGGGTAAGACACTGCCCAGGCTAGTTCACTAACAAAAAAGAAAAATTAATAAGGTAAAAAAAAATTACTAAATAGAAGCCCAAGTTGGAAGACGGTAAAGGGCACCTCGGTCAGTCCCAGAAGGTGGTAGGTAGGCGCCACGTGATTCAAAAAGCTAAACTTAACAACCCGAAGTTCCACCCGTGAAGGAAATAAACAAGTGAATCGCAAACAATAATTTATTCCCTCGAACCTGGTGGTAGGTGTAAGTGTCAAATCTCACTTTCAAGTTTTGGCGGTGCAAAACAAGGCTGCAAGAACAGGCCACTGAAGTTACAAAAACCTTAAGCTGTTCCGAACATTACACAGCTGTCTGTTAATGTTCCGGGAACCAAGCCAAGGTGGAATGTTGGCTCAGTACTCGCACTCAACACCCGCACGTGGGCAGTCCCAGCCTCCTACTCGATAGGGGAAACTCCACAACTAAATATGTAAAAACATTATTTGCCTAACAGGCCTGTAATAAAACAAGTTCGTATCTCATAGGGCGAAGCAGCTTTGTATTTCAAAATGAAGCCGCTTGTCCTACAGGGACGCATTGTATCCTGTATAAAGTGTCTTTCACGTCTCGCAGAACTTAAAGTCACGGCAAACTTTGTTAAATATCAAAATTTGTACAAATAATGGCGTTGTCGAATGATATTTTTTCAAATATCTCGCGCGCCCTGTAGAATTGACGAAATCTGAAACTCTTTCTCGACACAGTCTACGATACTGTTCAAATCAAATTAAGGGATCTTCAGAAGTTTTTCATTTATCCCCAATAATTTATCCAAAAAAACGGAAATTTTTAGGTTATTTTAGATTTTTTGTCCATAAACGACACACCCGGCACATAATTTAAACAATGTTCGATATAGAGGTAATAGCCCTGGAAGATGCAGTACGTAGTAATAGTAAATGACGTCATCGCGTTTAGATTGACAGCGTGAAATAGTGATTTTCATTTGGATGTTTTCAAATATCTCGAACAGTGTATGTGACGAAAACTGTAAATACAAAAGTTGTAGCTGTCGATGTGACCTGTAACACTGTTTAAACCAATTGACCATATTTTTGACGAATTTTGTTTTATATCTAATAATTTAATGACAAAAAGAATTTTTGTCTATAATTAAAAAACACTGTACATAATCAAAAAATGTTTGAAATTAAAGTTATAGTACCGAATCTTCCGCGTCTCTTATTAAAATAATTTGGCCGATCAAGTTAATAGTTTTCAAGAAATTTTGTTTTTTCTAGAAGAAAAAACCAGCCTTTTAGTTATGGTCAATTGTCCATATAAGGGGAACCTAATTTTCAGTTTTTTGCAATTTGCCGGCGCACCCTATCCATTTTTAATAAATCATCAAGAATAAATAATTTTCACCACCTCATACGTCTTCTGGGTCAAGAATTTTTTCGATCATCTATACTGTTTTTAATTTTTTAAAAATATTTACCGACCCCCTAGCCCCCGCCCCCTCCAAATTTCACTAAGTCGCATTAGGGTACTAAACTCTATATGGGGGCCAATATTGAAATAGCTGCAAATCTCGGACACTTATCGTGTTTCATAGCGATGTACGAAAAACAGAAGAAAATTGCAAAAAAAAGACAGACGCCAATATCTCGTGGCCGGTTCTGAAGTTATTCGCGTTTTTAGGAAGCGTCCACACAGAACGAATAACAGAGAACGGGCAAACAGACAATAAAAACTTTTTTTCTACGCTGATCATTTGTAAACCAAACGTTGCCGAGATATGAGTTACGTTGCCAAGCGCGTATACCTTCGAAAAAAAATCGATTTCATCAAGATACGACCCGTTTTTGACGATTCAGCCAAAGGGAAGAAAAGTCCTTCGTTGAAGCAATGCCTTGATAAGAAGGTGAACTTAATTGAGCTAATTCCGGACATCTTACTCAGGTTCAGACAGTGCCAAATCAGGTTAAAAGCGGACATTTGTAAGGCATGTGTTCATCAAGATGACAGAGACTACCTTCGCTTCTTCAGAGGGCCGCAAAAAAATTTACAGACGATTTGTTTTTGGAGTCAACAATGGTCCTTTTTTGTTAGGGGCTACCATATTTTATATCTCGTTGTCTGGAAAGATGGGAGGGGAGTTGTCCGAAAGGTTTTATGTGAACAATTGTGTTTCGAGTGTGTTGATGTTGGCACCTTAAACAAGTTTATCGGAGAGTCGACTAGTGCCATGGCCGAAGCCCGTTTCGACTTACGAGTCTGGCAGTTCACGCATCAGCCAGTTAAAACGGACGTCTCATCAGAGTGTTCACTTACTCTTCTGCTAGGATGATTTTGTTATACGAGCAGCGATTTTTTGACTATTTCCAAAGACTGTATGGTAGAGTTGGGCAAGACAGCAAATGAAATTGTCGCCAAGAGATTGATGCTTTCATTGACGCAAAAAATGTTTTTAAAACAGCGATTTCTACACATTTAACTCGTTTTCCTAGAAAATTTAACGAGGTCTGGACATGTTTTGAAAAAAATGTTTCCGTAAAAATGCTACATCTATAGAAAAAGGAGAATAAGCGCTTGTGGAATGAATAATCTGGTTATAGTCGTACCTATCTATACGGTCAAAAGTTTGTCATCGAAACGGACCATAACCCACTAGTGTGGCTGTCAAAGTTAAAAGAACCCAATTATCGCCTTATTCTTTGGAGGCTTAATCTCGAGGAATTCGATTTCGAGATTAAATTCAAAAAATGAAAAGAAAACTTCGCAGCAGATAGACATAAATGCTTTGCACGAAGACGAAACACAATCTAGCATCCCCGATGTCGACGGTACAGTCGCTAATCTAGCTTTTATTATTTCTTTTTCCTGTTTGGCAGTAAATAATTAAAACGTCATTCGGGCATTACGTTGTCATTTATTTATATCAATTAAACTAACAAATTCTATTATGACAATGAGAACGATTGAGTATTACATAATATATTAACTAAATAATTGTCAGTTGGGCCGTGGAACCATCTACAATTTGGCTTGGGTTTGATGCTTGACTTAGTGTAAAGTGAATCTCAGTATTATATAGATCGCGATGAGGATGGAACAGAATTTCCAAAGCACCCACGTGCAGAAAATGAAATTGCACTCGTCTATCTCAATATGATCGCCGAAATCTAAAATCAGTGAATTTTCGGGAAGTACATCAAACAAATCATCCACATATTGGCATAAAAGTGGAAATTTATAATCAACTTTATCTACAATGAAATATAATAATTTATTCATCACAATTTCCGCGATCAATAGGGAGGCGGCACCACCCATCGGCAGACCCTTAATTTGTTGATAGTAATCGTTGTTAAAGGTGAAAAAAGTGTTACTATATAGGAAGCGAATCATATCAATAAACTGTTTTTTCGGAATATTACAATTGGGTTCAATCAAATTGAAATGCTCGTCTAAAATTGCCAATACTAACTCTAGGGTGATATTCGTAAAAAGAGACACCACATCAAAAGAAGCAAGCACAAAGCCCTGAGGTATTTGAACACCGTTAACAAGTTCGTCAAATTCGAATGTGTTTCTAATTCTAAATTTATTGAATTCAGCGAAAGAGGCGCTCAATGGCAAAGAAAATGAATCTTCGGCCTGCCTAAGTCCTTTGATCTTTTTAAAATTATTCCCCTTAATTTTATTAAAAATCGAATTGTATTGAATGTTCGGTGTGAATAAAAAATCATCTAATATTAAAAGGAAGGTTTTTTCCACGTAGAAAGTCTGTATGTCGCCTCAAAGTACGTTCAAGTGTCATGTTGTGCATTTTTTTAGTTACCTTTTGTGTTCAGTTGTGAAGGTATGCGCCACAGTTGTTGTGTGCCATCTTGTAGATATCTGGGAGGCACGACGTCAGTGCCATATGTGATTCCAATCCTACGATAGAATTATCCCATTCTTACTCCTAGAAGCAAAGTGTAAATACAGTTAGGGGCTACTGGTAACTTGTTGCACAAAATAACTACGGGATCGCCCAATATTGACTAATATAGAGGGATCAATAAAAGATGTAAATGCTCATTGAATAGTGGCTTTTTATTGTTAAGTCAAGCTTTCGTCCAAGTATTTAGGCTTCCTCGGGACACTAGAATGTAATTAAACTCTAACAGCAGAGGGGGCACAGTACCCCTTGCACAAACAGAGAACCACGTGTTAGCCATTAAAGTAAAGGCTGCACAGATTAAAATAGTAAAACAAAGGAAACTTATGCCTAGACAACGAGTCACTAATCAATAAGTCAAATAACCGTAAACGACAAAGACCCAACAAAAATGCAACGCAATTCTATTCTGTCTGGTGGTCTGGTGATAATCTGCTCAACGACATTTAAAAAAAAAAACGACAAATTTGACAGTTGGAAAAATTTTCAGGCACATATAAAGAAAACTTGATAAATCAAAGAATCACCACCTTACAAAACCAAAGAATAAAAAGCAAAAAACCCACCACCGACCATTATCTTCGAACTTACCTTTAACCACGGTGAAAAACGCACAGACAATAATTTTAGTATTCGACTAGATCACAGACCCACAAAATTTTTTCACCTAAACCAACACTACAGGGCTTTTCTTGAATAGCAATCTGCTCAAACCGCGACTCAGGTAGAGAGTTAAGATTGTTAAGTTGTTTACAGATCTCTATAGACTCTCGCATTTTTCGTTGGTAGAAGAATTGATTACATGCAAGAATGTTAGTCGTTATTTAAAATAGAAAGATGAGACCTCTCACAAAACACTATGGCAATACTATAACATATTAAATTTCAAAAGTTTTAAAGTTTTAAGCCACAGTTTTTGAAACACGGTTACTACGGCACTTTTGACTTTTGAATATTACAATTGGGTTCAATCAAATTGAAATGCTCGTCGAAAATTGCCAATACTAATTCTAGGGTGATATTCGTAAAAAGAGACACCACATCAAAAGAAGCAAGCACAAAGCCCTGAGGTATTTGAACACCGTTAACAAGTTCGTCAAATTCGAACGTGTTTCTAATTCTAAATTTATTGAATTCAGGTGCTCAAAATCTGACCAACGAAACATGTCAATGGCTGTGTAGTTTCTCCGACACAAGACACTATAGGACACAGTGGGCAGTCCTCTTTATGGACTTTCGGTAAGCCATAATACTTTGGGCATACACGGTTTTATGTGATAAGTTTTTTTGAGATGGCTTCTTCAATATACCCTTGTTCTTTAATTTTTTTCACTAATGTATTACATTTATTTTTTGTTGAGGACGTAGGGTCTCTATGGACTGGAATATACGTTGCATTATCTCCAAGGAGTTCCAATGATTTTTGTATATATGATTCTCTAGACATGGCAACCGTGACCCTTGTCAGACTTGGTAATTGGTAGGTTAGAGTTAGCTCAGAAATTCCCTTGTCCGTCTCTCAATGTCTCAATGGCTAGAAAACCACAAACTTCAGCAAGTATTTTTTGTGCTAGAAATGTTCTTAAACCATTTAACATAATCGGCAAAGAAAATGAATCTTCGGCCTGCCTAAGTCCTTTGATCTTTTTTAAATTATTCCCCTTAATTTAATAAAATCGAATTGAATTGAATGTTCTGTGTGAATAAAAAATCATCTAAAATATTAAAAGGAAGGTTCTTTCCACGTAGAAAGTCTGATAAACCGGTCACAATCTGCGGTAGACATGTTGTGCATTTTTTTAGTTACCTTTTGTGCTAGAAATTCAAGTTGTCTATGGTTAGTGTTGTTCAGTCGTTGAAGTATGCGCCACAATTGTTGTGTGCCATCTTGTAGGTATCTGGGAGTCACGACGTCAGTGCCATATGTGATTCCAATCCTCCGATAGAATTATCCCATTCTTACTCCTAGAAGCAAAGAGTAAATACAGTAAGGGGCTACTGGTAACTTGTTGCACAAAATAACTGTGGGATCGCCCAATATTGACTAATATAGAGGGAGCAATAAAAGATGTAAATGCTCATTGCTCTTTTTATTGTTAAGTCCAGCTTTCGCCCAATTATTTAGGCTTTCTCAGGACACTAAAATGTAAAAGGGAAACACTCTATCACAAAAATAAGAAAAATACACTGGGCTTGTCAATACATACATCAATTAAACTCTAACAGCAGAGGGGACACAGTACCCCTTGCACAAACAGAGAACCACGTGTTAGCCATTAAAGTAAAGGCTGCACAGATTAAAATAGTAAAACAAAGGAAACTTATGCCTAGAAGAGTCACTAATTAATAACTAAAATAACCGGAAACGACAAAGACCCAACAAAAATGCAACCCAATTCGATTCTGTAGGGAATAGTCTGCTCAACGGCATTCAAAAAGAAAAACAGACAAATTTAACAGTTGGGAAAATGGTCAGGCACATATAAAGAAAACGACATATCAAAGAACCAAAGACTCACCACGTTACAAAAGCAAAAAACCCACCAACGACCTTTAACTTCGAACTTACGTTTAACTACGCTGAAAAAAGTACTTTCCAACTATATTAAATAATTATTCTCATCTCCTAATGATAAAAACATTAAAAACTAAATATGAAGCTGGTAAAAACCTTTTACAGTATGTTACAACTTTACTGGATAAAGTTAGGACAAAGATTGTTGATTCTGGTATTCCAAAGTCTTTATTGGATGAGGCCTTAAAGTGTTGTATGAACTAAGTCGGACTCCAAATAGGGCGATAGTTAGAGTAGTGGCACCCTCTACAATTTGGCATGGGTGAAAATCTAAGCAAGCTTCAGCCTGGTATATTACTCTACCAAAGAATAATAGGTTAGATGCTAAATCAAAAACCAAAAAAATAACAATCAAATCTTTATGCCTATATGTGGCAATTTAGAGAATATCACCAACAAATGTAAAATCATGTTTAATCCCCATTTCTCAAATTGGAATCCTTTCATACAGAGGCTTGAGAGAAAAATGACAACACTGTATAATCAAACTAATGTCTAGGCCGCTAGCTTGCTTTTTCCAGAGCACTAGTTAAATCTTCTAGTTCTACAGGAATATTCTAAAATAACATTAACATAATTGAAATTTATTAATACCTATATACTCGATACTAATAATTTATCTACCTTGAAGCAGATCTATTCTATAAATTCCCTCAAGTTCCTTTCTCTCTCAGACATGCTTGCAACTCTTAATATTTCCGCCTTGTGGTTGGTCCTCCAAGTGTTTATGATTGTGTTGTCCCTTCCTGATGCTTAACATTTTGTTTCTGTACATTTAAGATATTATTTTCCAATAACTGAAATTTACATATATCTATTAATCTACAACCTACAAAGGATAATAATATAAAATGCGACATTTTTTGCGATAAACATGCAAAATGCCTCTTTTGAGCTATTATAAAATATTAAATCAATTTTACCTCGTGGAAAACTATTCGTTGAGGAGTTTTGATACCCCACCACCCTATGAATTTACCTTCTAAAATTAATTGCATTCCGGCTTTTAAACATTTAAACTATTAAATTTGATATCTCTATACAAATTGCTGGCTCTAACCTAAACATTCTGTTTATCAATTATGTCTCAGCAGAGACTAGACGCTTTTGATACAGACTTGGTCTGCTGCCCGATTTCTTGCAATTAAAAACTCCTTTTTATACAGTGACCAAGCATAGGTATTATTTTTCTTTCCATGGTTAATTTAAGGCGTGCCTAGAGTTGTGTCAATTCGTCTTGCGGAATACGGTTCTTTTGAATTGTTACAGATTGAAATGAATGACAGAAACAGACTATAGAAAAGGAATTTGAGTATTGTTATAATATTTGTATATTATTGAGTTGCGATATCCTTGGTGGATTTACTTATGTGTTGAATTGAATATTGAATGAACTATCTATTTTCAGTCAGGTATTTAATTTACAGAAATTAATGTATTACTCGTCCAACCCAATACGTATCAATTATATTGATGATGCAGTAAAAAGCAGAAGACAGCTAACTATTATTATAGCGCAAACAGAAAATGTAGACACAACAATAATTCAAATTCAAATGAATCCGATTGAAAAGATTCGTCCTTTTCGTAATCGATCACTGATTGATTCGGTTGTCGTAAAATGAACGGTTCACACAACACTAACGACGCAATGACACCATCCTTGCGATCCCGGTGTAGGCGCAAGGATAGTGAAAAAGAGCAAGTGTGGCAACACCACTACTCGTAATCTCTGTAAGCACAGGTGTAGTAAAATTATTTAATTGATTAAACCTGTTCACCTTCAGCACACTTAGTGTACATCTGTAGGATACAGAAGAAATTGCACAACATTTAAAAAAAAAGCAATTTGGCAAGAGAAGGAAATTTACTTTGACAATTAGACTGCCACATTTTCGAAGTTATTTATATTATTGGAAAAGTATCTGATGAAAATTACAAGTATGTTTTTTATATAGTGTGCCGATTACTGCTGTTATAGTTAAAGTCTTATTTTAGTGGATACCACCTGGAAATGCCAATGTATCAAAATTTATAAAAGAAAAGCACCAGAAGAAAATACTAAAAAGTAAGAAATTTCTTTTGAAATTGAATTAAATTTCCCATATACCTTTATTTCTACCTTTGTTTTTAGGATAAATAAGTTGGTCAGCAAAAGTTGTGCTTGTAGAAGAGATTTTCATGAAAAGATATTAAAAGGGATTAGTGAAGTGTAAGTGCTTTTCTTTATTGCAAGCTTTTTTGTTAATGTATTTTTTAGTCAACCACACACTAGTTCCAAGTGCAAATGTAAGATACATTTTAATAGGAGAATGGTTAAAGAAAAGACTGGGTGAGTAAATAGTTTTTGTTATTACTTGTTTAGTTTTCACAAATTTACTCCGTATGAAATTTCTAAGCTTAACTGCTGTGCCCGCTACTGCTCTATGGCTCATAAACCACTTAGCAACATGGTAGAATGCTCTGACAACCTTGTTAAAAAAGTTACATTAAATTCTCTATTAAAAAGGTTTGTTTGTCAACACTTGTTATTTTTGTCTATTAAAACACATTGAAATTTAGTTAATTGAAAATATTAATATATTAAGACAAAATACCAAAAAGTCAATTCTAAACACATATAGTTCTGAGCAACATCTCATAATACTTGCAAAATACTACTAAATATTTCTTATCCATATGTAAGCATTAAGTAAGTGTAGTAGTAGTCAAGAAATCTTTAGGTGAAGGAGTTCTCTTTAATTATGTTCTAACCAATACAATCTTTGTTTTGTTTGTTGTTTTTTTCAAACCAAGTTTATATTTATGAAAAATGTATTTGCGATTGAAGCAAGCTTTGGGATGTCTGAGCTATATTATGTTGTCCACATACTGAGGCTGGAAAATCAAATTTTCTGTCAATACATTTTTTTTGGAAAATACTCCCTAATAGAAGTAGAATGGCATGAAAAGAGGCAGTTAGCAACTTATGTCTATTTTACCGATTTGGACAACTTCATGTCAGTTTTGATTGGCCAATATATATATATATATATATATATATATATATATATATATATATATATATATATATATATATATATATATATATATATATATATATTCATTTCCACCTCTTTTGAGCAGTTTGTCTGCAAATATCTATAGAACTGGTGAAATAATCTACAATAAAGGCTTTTGACGTTTGATAAAGCGCAAGTCGCATTTGTTTAAGAAACACTTTTAAATTTCTTTGATATGCAACCTCTGTGGGCTTGCAAGAATGCTGATAGGTAATTCAAGCAATGTTCAAGATATAATAAATTTGACTAAAATTAAGTGTTATTTTGTATTAGTGTCTGTTATAATTATGAAAGTATTTTTTAGTAAACAGATTATCAATTTGAAGTGCAAATGTCTTAAAATTTTTAAAGGAAACATACCAGAGAAACATATAAAAAAGTAAGAATTTTGTTTTGAAATTGAGTTTGCATTTCTTATATCCTTTTTTTCTACTTTTCTTTTTAGGAAAAGTAAGTTTGTCAGCAAAAGTTGTACTTGTAGAAGAGATGTTCATGAAAAGAGATTTGGAGGGATTAGTGAAGTGTAAGTCCTTTTTTTATTATATGCTTTTTTGTAAATATATTTCTTAGTCAACCACACACTAGTCACAAGGGCAAATGTAAGATAAATTTTAATTGGAGAATGGTTAAAGAAAATACTGGGTGAGTAAATTGTTTTTGTCTTTACTTGTTTAGTTTCAACAAATTTACTCTATATTAAACTCGTAAGTTTAACTACTGTACCTGCTGTTACTCTATGGTTATAATTAGCAACATAGGGGACCATCTTATTAAAAAAATGACTTCTAAGAGTGTTATTGATTTCCATTGTTTCTGTGTTATAAAGGTTGTTTGTCGACACCTCTTATTATTGTGTAGTTAAACAAAATGAAAATTAGTTAAGTGAAAATATTAATATATTAATTCAAAATACAAAAAAAGTCAATTCTAGACATATACATTTCTGGGCACTAGTCATGAGCATTTTAGTTAATTTCCCATATGTAAACAGTATTAGTATAAGTGTGGTAGTAGTAGTCTAGGAACCTTGAAGTGTAGGAGTTCTCTATTCTTTCTGTTTAAACATACTTTTTTCTCAAACCAAGTTTACGTTAATGATTACAAAAACTTATTCTACCAAGAAAGTTGTAAAAATATCTATAGAACTGGTTAAAGACTTTTGATATTTAATAAAGTGCAAGTCCCAATTGTTTGAGAAACACTTTTAAATTTTCTTTTGATGCAATCTCCGTGCGCTTGCAACAAAGCTGATAAGTAATTGAAGCAATGTCCAGGACATAACGCATATTCCTCATAGGATGGAGAAATAGCAGCGTAATAAAAGTGTCAAATTATGAATATTAAGTGTTATTTCGTATTAGTATATGGTATAGATGTAAAAATATTTTGTCATAAAATTTATAACGGAAAAGTGCCAGAACATAAAAAAATAAGAAGTCCAGTTTGAAATTCTAATTGAATTGTCTATATGTTTTTTTAGGAAAGATAAGTTTGTCGGCAGAAAGTGTGTTTGCAGAAGAGAGCGGAAGGGATTACAGTCAAATGTGATGTGTTTCAAATATAATTTAATATTTGCTTAATAGTTGAATTTGGCATTATAATTTTTTTTTTAAATATCTTCACAATTACGTAACTGGGTCTCTATGTTTATTTCGTTTATATTTTATAATTTTTACCAAAGAAAACTAACTTTATATTTATTTTTACCCAAGTGGCTTTTATGGGCCTTGAATATATAATTCACATAATAAAATTGTTTTTTAATTTTTATATAAAAGTTAATTTAAAACGGTTGAAGCCAAAATACGGAAAGCGCCGAATGATCAGTGGCCGCGGAAATTTTTAAAACAAACCTTAACATATAAACTATTTTTCACCTCCCTATATATCAAAATATAAGAACCTTTCTTCCTTTCTACTATCTATCAAAAAAATATTTGTTTGCACTCCCGTACAAGAGTTGCTATTGAGGGAAACTAAAAAACTGAAAATATTTTTTCCTACATTAATTGAAATTTACACACTTTCACTTATCGAGGATAATATCTATCAAGTGGATAATTTTTGTTTCCAGCAGAAATATTTGCTTAGACTCCCGTACGACGGTTAGGATTTAGATTTTATTGTATGTGGCCAATGTCTGGGCCTTCCTATTCCTTCCTGCATCAAATTTATCCCTCGTACAAAGGGAGGGGTATACTTTGTGAACCTCAGGTTTGGAGATTTCGGTCCCTAATTTTAAGGACCTGTTTCTTCCTACTGCCTTTTCTTCGGAGTCGTAATTTTCGTTTCCAGCATAAATATTCGCTTCCACTTCCGTACGAGAGTAGAGTTGTAAACGTAGTAAAACTAAAAAATTGAAAAAAAAATTAATTTGTTTATTTTTACGCATTTTCAAATCTTGGTAAAACTAGATCAAGAAAGTTATACTGTGCCATCAGGCAACCGATGCTACCAGGGAAATTCCATGGTTCGCGCGGGACTCTGTTCTATGGTAGCCGTGGTAGTAGAAGGTCACGGAAATAAAGGTGTTAAAAAAACGTATATTCAGCGTATGTTATTTTAAAATGTTATAGACAATAACATGACATATACCAAAATTGTCTTGAAACAATTTAGTATGGAAAAGATCAAACCAGTTACAATACCTACGAAGAAAAACAGGTAGGTCATAACAAAAGAAACTGTGATGCTGTGGAAAGCATGATCTATTTACCAAACAAAACATACCATATAATCAGGCCATACTAAATTTAAATAGAATTGTAAAATATTTAGCAAAAACCAAAACAAAATATCCATTTTATAAAGGAAAAAGTTAGGAAAGGATTGTAGGAAAGTAGAGAATTTAATTTCGGAAAACAGTACAGCAGATGTTTATACTAACTTTAAACTCTAACTTTAAACAGTAAAAATTTTTAAACATCGGAATATGTTGGTAAAGTAATTTAAGGTAATAATTTCAAAAATTGTAATTTTTAATAATTATTCGAACACGGTGATGGGTAGTAATGAACTTATAGAAGTTTTTAGCCTCTGTAGTTAATTATTTTAAGTTCAACAAAAATGTAAGTAAATTTGTAAAAACCCATCACATACGATAAACAAAAATAAAATTCTTAAAGTTAATATAAAAATTATTATACTTATAGAAAGAAAAGCAGCCTAATCTTATTAAAGATGGCAAAATTAACTTCATATTCCACATATTTCTGACGCGACACAAAAGTGTGAAACATGCAATTTTTTGATAAAATTGTTTTTTTAGACACCGTCGGCGTTGCAAAAATTACAAGTGCCTGGTCTTACTGAGGAGAGCAAGGTACTCGCGGGAGGCGAGCCTGACCGACGATGTTACGCGGA